AAAAAAAAATCCAACTTAATCTAATCTCTAAGTATGTCACATATCATTTCTGAGTTATGTATATTTTTTAAAAATGGGCTTTGGTTACAAATATTGGGATTGATTCACTTTTAAAGTGCAAGAGTACATTTGTCATAAAACTAAAACATAATTTCAATGACAACAATATTTCTAATACCGTGTTGTTATTAAAGCTAAATTTCTATTCTATCATAGATGTTGCTTATTAGTCTTTATTTTTTCATTGACAACTAAAAATTGTATATATTTATGGTATGCAACATGATGTTTTGAAATATGTATACATTGTAGAATGGCTAACCTGAGGTATTGAATACATTCATTACCTCACTTTTTTTTCTTTTTTGGTAAGAACACTTAAAATATGCTGTCTTAGCAATTTTCAAGTATATGATACATTGTTGTTAACTATAGTTACTATGTTGTACAAGTGATATCTTGAACTTAATTCATCTTACCTAAAATTTTCTACCCTTTGGCCAACATCTCCCAATCCTCCCTGTCTCTTTAGCCCCTGGAAATCAGCATTCTACTCTCTGCTTCCATAAGTTCATATTTTTTAGATTCCACATATAAGTGAGATCGTGCAGTATTTGTCTTTCTGTGCCTGATTTATTTCACATTACATAATGTCTTTCAGGTTCATATATGTTATCACAAATGGAAGGATCTCCTTTTTTAACATCGAGGCTGAATAGTATTCCATTGTGTATATATTTCAAATACCAGTGTTGCTATTACAGCTCAATTTCTCAAATAAATGCTGCTTATGAGTCTTTAAAAAGTTAATGATAAAATTAGGATATAAAACTGGATTTACCATTTCTTATACCTGCTACTTGGAATATTATATGCTATTTAGTAAGTAATTAATTTAAAAATCTATGTACATATGTGTATGTAGTCTATATGCTTCTATATTGCACTCTTTAAATAATTTAGATCTATCTCAAAATGATCCAGGAGAAAGTTCATTTTGTGTGTCTGATCCTTTTGAATGATTGCTTTTATTCACAGTTGGATCAATCAAAGTAAAGGAGAGTATGTTGCTTGGGACCTAAGCATAAAACAGAAATATAATAATAAATAGCCAATATGGGCCAGTTTTAAGACATTTTGATTCAAAATGACCGACTCTGCTGCAAAACATTTATGTACTCTTAAGCAAATCACCTAACCCTTTTCTTGTGTGCAAAATGAAGGAACTGTTCTAGGACAGGAGTTGGCCAACTATGGCCTGTGTGACAAATCTCACCTGTCACCTATTTTTATATAGCCCACTAGCTAGGGATAATTTTTACATTTTTAAATGATTGAAAAAATCAAGAGAAGAATATTGTGTGTCAAAAGAAAGTTACATGAAATTTAAATTTCATTCCCTATAAATATTTATTGGAACATGGCACAATCATTTCTTTATATATTGTATATGACTGCTTTTATGCTACAACAGCAAAGTTGAGTAGATAGAAACCACTTAGCTGCCTACCTTAAACTATTTATTCTCTGTCTCTTTACAGAAAAAGTTTAGCAACCTCTGTATTAGGTCAAGAATGGCCTTTAGGAACCACTGAGAATCTATTAATTGTAATTGCTTTACATGGTGTTAAGCAGAATTCTGGGAATACATCTATGGGATTAATTAATATTGTCTGCAGCAATTGAGGGAGAGGGGAGTGGAGGTCCATTTACCCTGGATTTGCCATCCCTGGAAAGGACAAGAGCTAAAATTTCATGAATTTCCAGAAGTTTTTCTCATATTTAGACCCCCTAAAGATTATTTCTTTGAGTATGGATTAATAGATCATTTGTCCTTTCCTCTGCTGTATTGTGCATTGGGAGGGTTGGGGGTGGTCAGTCTCTGAAAATATTTTTCATGAAGCCTTCATAAAACCTTTCAAATCCCTTAAGAAACTAAAATCATCTTTGCCATGAATATACGTAGAGATCTAATTGCTTTTATATTTTGGTATTTATGGAAACGGATAATATTTAAATAATATTAAGTTTTTATATTGAGTCTTCTGAGAATCGTGATTGCTGTCCTAACTGACATGCTCCAATAATTTCAATTAAAGTGCCTAGAAGGGAATGTATTTGGATTTGATGTAGAGAAGGAAGTGAAGATGAGATACTGGGAGACATGCTATTAACTATTTAATTTTGTGACTATTTCAAAAATACTTAAAATTGTAATGCTAAATTGTCATGTTTTAAATCTTATCCTGTATGTTATCTTCTAAGGAAGAAGTGTCCTTAATTTGAAATTTCAGTGCAAATTATTATTTATGCAAAGGAAAGTGGGGTGGGGACAACTCAAGTAGACAAAACTGAATAGTGAATAAAAGTCTAAGACTCATGAGAGAATATATTTTGCTCATATATGCTTTAGCATCACAAGGAGAACTCAAGGAGGTGCCCTGCCCATTTCCCCATGGCAGCCACTTTTGCCAGGCAGAGCAAATGCTTTCTGCTGCAAGCACATGTGACTCTTTGCCTCTGGACTTTCTCTGGCCATAGGAGCATGCTCGACCTAAAAGGGCAGAGTCCAGCTGGAAATGCCAGGCAGTTAGTGCCCCTGGGAGCAGCACTTAATCAAAAATGGATGAATAATAGACAAATGGAAATTAATAATATTCCTGCATCCTTACGCTTAGGGCGGGATGACTCTGGGGTGTTTTCTCTATGTTCTACCCAAAGTCATTATCAGGATTGAGCTTCTGTCGCCTGCAGTGGTAACTTTCTCAATAGTTGATCCTAGATTAGCTTTCTTCCCTTCCCCATTTCTTTATGGTGTCTCCTACAGTCATCTCCCAAATAAACTATCTACATTAAAAGTTTTTCTCAAGGTTTGATATGGAAGATAACCTAAGGTACTCCTGAACCTTGACTTTCAAAAACAATATAAGCAACTCTCTTTCCTACAAAAGCAATAGACATGATGGGCTCTGGATCAATGATTTGAGTTGATTTACAGTAGCCCTCACACTCATTCATTATATTGCATTCCTAGATCTCCAAGCGTTTGCCTTGTGCATAAACACTTAGCAGCAACTGAATCAAGAAAGGAACAGAAATAGTTAATAAAAATTAAAACTTGATAAATATGAGCCACTATAATCAAAGTGGTAAAGGTATACATAATCCAAAAAAAATGAGAAGATCATAAATTTTCGTGGTGTAAGGGACTATAATTATTGTTTTCAGGACGTTTGAACCAGTGTCTACTTGTACTTTCTGCACATTTCCCCAACACAACCTAGAATACTCAAAATTATCATTCTATTCCTTTTTTAGCTGCACTCAGAGATGCTCAATACATGTTTGCTAATGTTGATGATGGTATTTTTCCAGTGAAAGACATGTTAAAATTAAGGGCTTATCCAACATTTCCCAAATTCCCAATATCTATCACCTCTATTTATTAAACGCTACAAGTTTCACTGCTGCAGTATCATATCAAATAAGACAACCAAGAAATGTCATTAAATGATTTAAGGTTGTCACGGGGCCTTTGTGACACCTTGTGACATATTTTCAGAGACTTCCTACATAACATGAATATAAAATGATACATAGAATATCTGAATTGAAAGCATCTTTGAATATCATATTCTAAATCTGTAATTTATCACAGAAATTTGCAAATTTTATTTATTCTTTTTATTTGGTAGAAAACTTCTATCAAAGAAAATTGTATATGAAACCCAGTAACAAACAGAGTTAGTTGTGAAATTAAATCTATCCAAAAGACATCATTATATCAAAATGATACCTGCATTCATAATGTTTATCACAGCAAAATTCAGAATTGCAAATTATGGAATCAACCTACATGTTCATCAACAGATGATTGGATAAAGAAAATGTGATATATGTATATGTGTATATATATATATATACACACACACACACACACACACATCATGGACTACTACTCAGCCATAAAAAAGAATAAAATCATGTCTTTTGCAGCAACATGGATGGAACTTGGGGCCATTATCTGAAGTGCAATAACTCAAACAGAAAGTTAAATACCACATGTTCTCACTTACAAGTGAGAGCTAAATAATGTGTACACATGGACATAGAGAATGAAATAATAGACATTGGAGACTCAGAAGGGTGAGAGGGTGGGAGGGGGTGTGTGATGAAAAATAACTTATGAGCACAATGTACACAATTTGGGTGATTGTTACACTAAAAGCCCAGACTTCACCTCTACACACTATATCCATGCAGCAAAACTGCACTTGTACCCTCTAAATATATAAAAATTAAAAAAAGAAAAAAATGGTTTTTAAAAAATTATAGATACCCACTCATGAGCCTCTCCTTTAATCCAACTTGATTCTTGAGACACTTGATGGAACCATGCCCTCCACAATTTTAAAGCCACAGACTTAATAAGTGATCTGCAGATTTTCCATTTTCCTCTTCTGATTAGTTTTTGCCAAATCCTATTGATTTATCTTCTATAGAGTTATGTTTAAACATCTTCTTTTTCTAGGCCTATCGTACCTGCCCTGTTCAGACACAGTATGTCTAGATTACTATTGCCTGTCACCCTCCAATACAGACAAAGGTTTTTTTTCCCCCATATCGGTCATATTCACAAGCTTCTCAGTTTGATTTCTCATTGCTTAGAGAGTAGATCATCTTCCTCAGCTGGA